GTGGGGCCCAGAGATCTCCAGAACTGTGATCGTTTGCAAGTAGATTTTGCTATTGCCAAAAATGGTCCTTCTAAACTGTGGGGTCTTGTGAGCAAAAATTCTACTTTGTGAGCGACTGGCATTGAAGTTCTGAGTGAGCGATAGGGCCACTGCGTAAAATTAGTTTGCTCTGGAGCCACCCTTCCTGAACCAAGACAAAAATGTGTGAGCCGGAGGCTAAAAGATGGTGAGATAGCTCACAGTAATTCATCTTAGAGGGAACACTGACGGCCACGGTAAAATCCAGTCACAAAGTGCATTGAAAGTGCATTATTCAGTATGTTTGAAAGTGCCTTTAATGGTTTTTGGGTTGGCTTTAATGGGTTGTTTTTAAGTGGTTTCATGGTGCATGTTTTAACTTCTTCGCCTTCTTGGTAAGGGCAGAAAGGCCAGGTAGAGAGCTGGTAAAATAAGTAAAGAAATCTGGTTGGATTCTGTAGATTGTTCTGCTAAAGGTGGTGTCTTTTCAAGGCTCAAAAATTCCTGTTGTATCTGGGAAGGTTTCTGTCACCGTTAACGGAACGGATTTGTGGTTCCAACCCATCGGTTCAGTTTTACAAAGAGCGACATTTGCAGGCAGGATTATGCTGGAATGCTAAGAAAACAGACATGCAGCGACTATACAGGGACTCCTGCGGCTGTATAATTCAAGTTTTAATCAAATCCCAGATGAAGGTGGTGTGAAAATTAGTGGAAGGCACATGAACAGATTTGAGATATGCAGATGGCACCACGTTACTGGCAGAAAACAGGTAAGACTTGAAACGACTCCCAGTGAAGGTTAAATATGAAAGTGTCAAAGCGGGAGTCTAACTGAACATCAAGAAGACAAAAAGTAATGACAGCGGGGGAATCACACCGCTTCAAGGCTGACAACGATGAAATTGAAATTGTTGAAGATTTTTCTATTCCTTGGCTCCATCATCAACCGAAAGGGAGACGGCGACCAAGATATCAGAAGGAGATTACATAAGAACATAAGAGACACCAATGTTGGATCAGGCCAAAGGCCCATCCAGCCCAACACAGTATCACACAGTGGCCAGAAATACCAGTGCCATCAGGAGGTCCACCAGTGGGGCCAGGACATTAGAAGCCCTCCCACTGTTGACTCCCCCAAGCACCAAGATGACAGAGCATCACTTGCCCTAGAGTCCCTGTCTATACCTTGTGGCTAATAGCCACTGATGGACCTCTGCTTTAGAATATCAATATTCTAAAGCCATTTAAAAATTAAAAAAAA